GGCTTCTGAATGCTAAATGACTATAGAGAGTTTTGTAGATGAACATATAGGCTACACAATGATATTTGTTTTATTTTTAGTTAATATATAAGTTATTGCATAATAGAATGTTAAGCATTGATAAAAATAGAAAGATGCAGGATTGGTTTACCATTTATTCACAAGCATTATTGATGAAATGCATATAGAATTTTTAGTTTTGGACATCTATATGGTTCAGGATGATGCTACAACACATGGTAACTCTAAAACCAATCAGTTATTAGGTTAAAAGCTATAAAAAGGATAGTTTTTTGCCCTTCTAAAAGAACAGTTCTTAACAGCTCTTAATAACCCTTAATAGTTCTTAATAGTTCTTAGATAGCTTTTAACAGTTCTTGAATAGCTTTTAATAGTTTTTAACAGCTTTTAATAACCCTTAATAGTTCTTAGAAGTTCTTAGACAACTCTTAATAACTCTTAATAGTTTTTAACAGTTCTTGAATAGCCTTTAATAATTCTTAGATAGCTCTTAATAACTCTTAACAGTTCTTAGAAGTTCTTAGAAATGCTAAAATAGCTCTTAAATAACCTTCTTTTAAAGTCATTTACTTATATAAAAGTGCTTTTATATCTTAAATTATTTTTTAATAAAATATTATTTTACTTATTTTATCTTATTATTATTAATAAAATCTATTCTTTATTTTATTTTTTATCTTATTTTTCTTTATAATTTATTTTTATTTAGTCTATTTTTCTTATAATAATATAAAGTAAAAAGCTGGTTTTCTTAATTAGTTAATTGGCAAATACTAGCTTTATATTATTCTTTTATTTTTCTTCTTTTTCTTATAATAATATAAAGTGAATGGCTGGTTTTCTTAATTAGTTATTTAGCAAATACTAGCTTTATATTATTGAAATTTAAAGACTACATATAGCTGTAAACAGTTTGATTATTAGGCTTTTCTTTTTCTAGTTAGATGTACTCTATAGACATTTCTAAGTTTTAAAGTCTAATAATCCTTGTACAGGATAAACATTTTGTTATATTTAATCTACACAGACTAGACAGTAGAATTAGTTTAAAAGCTAATTATATTGTTGTATCTTATAGTGTCTAGAAGGCTATTGAATTTAAATTCTACTTTTAAATATTTATTTCTTATTTTTAGTTATTTTTATTTATTTTGTTTTTCTTTAAATAAAAGATCTTTCACTCAACACTCATTACTTTAAAATTTGCTAAAGCTTGATAGTTTTTAGTAAATTTTATTATAGTATATATATTTTTCTTATATATCTGTTATTTGGTTTATTTGTTTATTCTTTTAAAAAGTTTTATATAATACAAATAACTTAATTACATCTAAAACTTTAAAATGCAAAGGCTTTTTAACTAAATATAAAACTAGCAAAAATAAATATGTAGTTAAATAGCCTTTAATATATATTACAAAATTACATATTTTTTTTGCTCACTATATTATTAAATTTTTTTGTAGTTAGGGTTTTATTAGAGCCAATTTTAATAATAATTGCCAGATTTTTAGCATATGCACAATCACATAAAACTATCTGATTGGTGACTATGATTATATATAATTAAAAATAATTGGCTATATGTGATTTGTGTTGTCAAAGATTATTACCAAGACTTTTGTAAAAGAATTTTTTATTATATAATATAATTTTAACTTACTTTTATTCTTTTTGATAATTATTAGAAATCTCTTCAGAAAAAAAATAAAGTCATTACTTTGAAACAAGAAGCTATGATTTACAAGTTCAAACATCAAGAAATTTGAACTCAAGCCTAAAAATGTAATATGTTAAATAATTGAATTATAATATACTATCAACTATCTATATAATAGAAATCTGGGCTAAGAAAAAATCTCTATTATATAACTTTTTTATTATTATTCTGTTATAACTATTATAAATTATTTAGAATTAAATTATTTATCATGCAAATAACAGTATCATAAGTAGTAAGTGATATGAAAAAATAATTAGATGAATATGTTATGATTAACTTTTAATTCTACATATTAACTTTTAAATACTATTATGTATTAGTAATTTACTTTTCATTATAATGACTCTTAGGTTAGTTTTAGTGTTAGATCTTAGTAATGGGTTTTTTTTAGTTAATACTTCTAACTTTCATTCATTATAAAAGACATTTCTTTTTTTTTTTCTTCAAAGAACTAAAGATTTGTACAATAACAAAAAAAAAATACTGTAGCAGTAGCAAAATATATATATATATATATATAACAATGGCAAAAAAAAAAAATATATACTATAATAGTAACAAAAATACTATATAACATATTTTTTTCTTAAAGTTAGACAATTCAGCAATTCTAAACTTTTATAACATATAGTAATTTTTTTTCAAAATTTTAAACTTTCACTAGATAATTACTAAACAGAAAACTTTTTATAACATAGTTTTTTTCAAAACTCTAAACTTTCGCTAAACAATTATTAAACAAAAACTTTTTATAATATAGTTTTTTTTCTTTTGATTCTCTTTTTTTATAAACTATTTATTGTTTTAAGTTTTCACTTTTATAATAATGCAAAAACCCTTAGCTAGTATAGAAAATGTTTTAATATCAGAAGACTTATTAATAGATAAAAGTTTTTTTGATATTGGTACTTTTGAGAATAATAATAATTCAAAGCTTGAGGATGTTGAAGACAGTACTAATAGTGAACTGGGCAGTAATAATAAAGACAGCTTTGAGAATACTAGTGATCAACAGTTGAGAAACTTACCTCTATCTTATGTTAAAATCTACTGTAATAAGATCTTTGAAATATAAGAAGAATGTTATGAAATATTAGAATATTATGCACATCAAAATAATTTTGTAATCAGAAAAAAATAAGTAGATAATAGTCACAATTTATGCCAACACACATATAATTGTAAACAATTTAACAAATATATTTTACATAAAACTGTTCTATCTAACAAGCAAAGAAATAAGAGTTCAAAGAGGATTGATTATTCTTTTTTTATAAATGCATCTAAGAATAAGGGTTCTGATAGTAAAACTATAATTAAGTTGACATCAATACATCTTGAACATAATTATTTGTTAGTTTCTTAAAATGCTAGCTTTGCTACTGAATACTGAAAACTTATAGCAAAATGAAGGATCTTATTGAAAAATATATACTCTGTAATTTTGATGTTCTATCTCAGGTTCTGCTACTTCATGAGTTGTTTCCTGAAGCAACAATTGTAGACTATGATGTGAAGAACTATGTATATAAATTTTGGCATATTCATTTAATGCATAGTGGTGATGCTGTAAAGCTTTTTGAACATTTTAAAAAAGAACATGTAAAGGATCCTGATTACTATGTTTAACCATTAATTGACATAAAAACAAATATATTACAAAGTGTATTTTATATAGTATCTAAACAGCAAGAACTCTGATGATGCTATACAGACATTATTTTAAATGATAACACAGTAGCAACCAATGTCTATAATTTGCCATTAAGCATTTTTGCTATTGTTGATAACAATTTTAAATCAATAATTGTTGCACAGGCTGTATTGTCTAATAAAACAAGTAAAAGTTATAGATAGGTTTTATAGCAAACAATCAAAGCTACAGAAGTTCAACCTGGTGCCTTTATAATTGATGCTGACTCAGGTTTTAAGAGTGTTGTTCCTAAGGTGTACTCTAATATCTATCTTTTTTACTATATTTGGCATATTAAATATAATATTGAGAAGCAGCTTGCAAAGTCTTTTGGTAATCATTATGCAGATTTCTTAAAGCCTTCTACTGCATATATAATGTTTTATGCAAAGAGGCATTTGGTAGATATTGGCAACAATTAATGGTTAACTTTTCTAAATCTACTAAATATTTGCTTAAACAACTTAATCTACAAAAAACAACTTAGACAAAAGCATTTATAGACAGAATTTTTATAGCAGATATAACAACTACCCAATAGTCTGATTCAATAAATAGCATTATTAAATAAACTGTTAATAAGAAGACTCAACTTTATATTTTATTTAAATAAATTGAATTATGAGTTGCAGCAAAATGTTTTTTTGTAGATTAGTTTATAGCTTGGTATGAAAAAACTACATCATACATAATATCAAGTATTTCTGAACAACTTTTTCCAAATGTATATAGTATTTTGCAAAAATATGTGACATTTAAAAATTTGGAAATACATATTGAACAAATAAATAAAGCAGTTATGTATTATAGTAAAAAGATTAATTTTAAAGATCTAAAAAATTAAATATTAGAAACAGTTGAAAATAAACCAGTTGAACTTAAATATAATTTTTACCAAATATGTCTTAATAAACTTTTTGAAGAAATTGATTTTTCTTTAGTTATTAAAAGTTGAAAAGTTTGATCAATTAAGCATAAGTCAAATGTTAGATAACATGTAATGTTATTAAAAAATAAATATCATTTATACACATGTATCTTACTATTTGATAGTAAAGTAGTTTGTCAACATTAGTATTGTGTTTTTTTACAGTTTGAAAAAATTCACTTTTATATTTTTTTAATCTCAAAACATTAGTATAAAGATGAAATAATAAATTTATCAGTTATAAATAAACTATTTGTTAGAGAAAAGTCATATAAAGATGAACATTTAACACAATATATACCTTTATTTCCAAATGTTGCTAAGTCATAGAATGCTATATTTGTTGAACCACCTATGCAAACTGCAGCAAAGCAATTGGTCATAAGCAATCTATTAAGAGAATATTACTTGGTTTTGCATATAAATATATAGAATTAGTTAATTATAATGATTTAAATAACTCTAATCTTTTAATAAAAAGGTTTAAAGAATAGATACATATATACAAAGAAATACAGCATAATAATAAAAGAAGTTAATCTAATACAATTATTGAATATAAATAAACTACAAAATACAATTTAATTAATAATAAACAAAATATAGAGCAAGATTAGGTTATGGAATATGAAGAAGTTTTAGAATATAATCAAGTTACAAAAGATAATTCGATTTATAATCAAACTTCTAAAATTACACAATTAGATATTCAGAATCCACTTAGACATATGGGGTGTCCCCAATTAAAAGGGCTCATTTTTACATTTTAAAAAATTTTTTTTTATTTTATTTTTAAATAAATATGTATTCAACAAACAAATTTACTATAAA